TGTAGTATCCAGATGGACATGTGTCACAGAGAAACCCAGAATATTTGGAGTCCCATTTTCACAATAATGATACTAAAATTTACACTGTGCAGAATTTTCTGATGTGAACTTGCTTTTCAACCACAGAATGTATTGTAACCAAGACCAATTGTGTTCCCATTGATAGCTTCAAAACCACTTCCAACAGGGATTTTTGGACAGTGATTGCAAGCAGTAAATATCTTGCTTACCCTTCCCTCAAGGCTACTACTGCTAATTGTAACATATCCTTCTTTTCCCTCTGTCCCGAAGTAAAATCAGTTCGCTGTATTCTGATTTAGATGTTGATGGTGCCATTTATAAATAAATGCCACTGCACCAAGATCATGAGCTGGTTGATTTTGGTAAATGGTTGCTTTTTCACAAAAGCTAATCTCATAAAATTTCCTAACCAGATTTGAGTTATTTGTAAAATTCTGCTTACCATCTTAGCCCAAGAAGGAAATATTCAGATGTTATACACGAAAGTTACCATTTACAGACAACACTTCTGTCGTAGAACTGCTACTGTAATCATTAAGACTATCACAGATTCTTGACTCTTCCACAGAAATGTGCCTCAGCTTGCAAATTCAAAAGGGATTGATTATTGACTGCAGCTGTGATATTTTACATTTCACACGTGAATGTGGCTCATGGAAAGGAGATTGTCAGTTGGGAACCAGTTCAGAGATAGTGGTTATAATATGAACCACGTATATATTAACAATGTTAGGGCTCTTGCGGTGCAGTGGTATTGTCCCTACCTCTGGACCAGAAGACCCAGTTTCGAGTCCCCCTTGTGTCATAACATCTATGACAGTAGAGTTATAGAGATATACAGCATGGAAACAGACGCTTCGGTCCAACTAGTCCATGCTGACCAGATTTCCTAAAGCAATCTAATCCCATTTGCTAGCATTTGGCCCTTATCCCTCTAAACCTTCCCTATTCATGTACCCATCCAGATGCTTTTTAAATGGTGTAATTGTACCAGCCTCCACCGCTTCCTCTGTCAGCTTATTCCATATACACATCACCCTTTGCGTGAAAAAGTTGCCCCTTAGGTCCCCTTTAAATCTTTCCCTTCTCACCTTAAACCTGTGCCCTCTAGTCTTGGACTCCCCTACCCTGGTTAAAAGACCTTGACTATTCACCCTATCCATGCCCCTCATGATTTTATAAATCTGTATAAGATCACCCCTCAGCTTTTGACGCTCCCGGGAAAATAGCCTCAGCCTATTCAGCCTCTCCCTATAGCTCAAACCCTCCAACTGTGGCAACATCCTTCTAAATCTTTTCTGAACCCTTTCAAGTTTCACAACATCTTTCCTATCATAAGGAGACCAGAACAGGTTGATTAGAAAATATCTGTAAAGAGATGTTGTAGTAACCTACTCCAAAAGTGGCAGTATCTACAAGGCATACTGCAGCATTCTGCTGAGCCAGCTTCTACAAATCTGTGACATCTACACTTAAAAGGAAAAGGGTAATATGTGCATGAGAATACCACCCTCATTGTAGCTGGGTCAAAATACTGGAACTCCTTCCCTTTCAGCACTGTAAGTGCACCAAAACTATATAGGTTGCTGTAGCTCAAGAAGGCAGCTCCCCAGTACCTTCTCAAAGGCAACTAGAGATGGGCAATAAATGCTGATCTTGCCAGCAACACTCAGATCCCAATGAAGGAGAGCCATCACAATGATCGTAAATCCAGATCCCATAAGTTAGTAGCTGTTGTTCAATCCATTGTCACCAACTCAGGGTTACTTGTATTACAAATACAGATGATACAAAAAATTATGTATGTTTGCTTTTAATCATGTCAAGTGGTGAGATTGTATTTTTTTTTTACAGATTCAAAATGGGTATTTTGTTCATTACTTTGCACCTAAGGATCTGCCTCCAGTTCCAAAGAATGTGGTTTTTGTGATAGATACAAGTGCTTCGATGGCGGGGAGAAAAATCAGTCAGGTATATTTCTTCACCTTAATGATGGGACCAAGTGATTGTACTTAAATAACAGCTGTTTATAGATGTCTCACCATATCATTCACTCATTATTAACACTAAGCTAATGATGCAATCACAGAAATTTACATTACTGAAGGAGCACTTACCCCATTGCATCTGTTCCAACTTGTTACGTCATCAAAGAATTCCAAAATGTTGGTCAGTCATCATGACTTCTTCATTTAGTCATGAAGATTCTACTTGGTTACATTATGTATGTGTTTATTTTGTTATTTCCACATGCTTTCTGATGATTGTACAAGGTTCAGTACCAATCATGATTCCCCAGATATCGAAGCAGTATTCAAAACTAATATTCAGGTACAGCAGGTGATAAAGAAGACAAATGCAATTTTGGCATTTATTGCTAAAGGAACAGGCTATAAAAGTAGGGAACTGTTACTGCAACTGAAGAAGGCATTAGTGAGATTACACAAGGAGCATTGCATACAATTTTGGTCCCCTTACTTGAGGAGGGATGTAGTTGTATTGGAGGCAGTTCAGAGGAGGTTCACTAGATTGATTCCAAAGATGAGGGGTTTGTACGATGAAGAGAGATTGAGAAGTTTAGGCCGACATTCTCTGGAGTTTAGAAGAATGATAAGAGATCTAATAGAGGTATATGAGATTGACAAAGTAGACGTAGACAGGATGTTTTCTCTTGTGGGGGTAATCAAGAGCAAGAGGTCATAGTTTTAGGGTAAGGGATATCAGATATAAAACAGAGATAAGGAAAAATTACTTCTCTCAAAGTGTCATGAATCTGTGAAATACACCACCTCAGAGTGTGGTAGATGCAGGGACATTGAGTAAATTTAAGGAGGAGATAGACAGATTTTTAATTAGTCATGCGTTGAAAGGTTATGGAGAGTGGGCAGGAGAATGGAGTTGAGGTTGAAATGAGATCAACCCTGATCATATCAAATAGCAGAGCAGGCTCAAGGGGTTGAATTGCCTACCCTACTCTTATGTTCTCATATCCACATGCAGCATGACTTCGACAAAATCTAGGTTTCGGCTGATAAGTAGTAGGTAACATGCATGCCAAGAAGTGCCAGACAATGACCATCACTAACGTAGGAATCTAACTATCATCCCTGACAGTCAATGGCATTACCATCACTAAATCCCCCATTATCAACACCCTGGGGTTTCCATTGGCCAAAAACTGAACTGAACTTACAAGGCGCAAGTCAGGAGTACGATGGAATACTCCCCACTTGCCCATCCAGGACAAATCGACTCGCTTGATTGGCACCTGAACTACTACCCTCAACACCCACTCCCTCCAGAACCAACACACAGTGGCATCAGGGAGTATTGTCTACAGAATAATTTTCAGAAACTCACCTAGACTCCTTCGATAGCACCTTCAAAACAGCACCTCTCCCACCTTGAAGGTCCTGGGAATTCCTAACTTGGTTTAGCACTCCATTGTCCTGGACTACTCTGTTCAACACATTCCAGGCCAAATCCCGTTTGCTGCCAGTAATCACACACCATGTATGATATGATATTCTAATACGTCATGAATTTTTTTTTGTAATAACGATGATGTAGTGATTGTAACGAGGCCAGCCTGATGCACCCCATAGAATATGAGTTCCCTGATTTGGGCTGATAGTCTGGTCCAATCAGGCAGCCCTCCCTGACAGATAAGAACAGCTGTGTCTCCAACTCTGTTTTGGTTTAGTCCTTGCACTCGCCCTACACCTTTTCACATAAGCCTTGCCCCTATCAGGCTTTGCTTGTTACATTAGCCACGTGGGTGTTTTCCTGCTGGTGGAAAGTTTGAAATAAGATTCTTGCACAATGGCGTCTTTTTCACTGAGTCACTACACATGCACAAGCACGAGTGATGTGGGTAAAATTTAAACACTGAGCAAAAAAAAAAAGTTCAGGAGTGTCAGACATCCTGTTCACTCTGAAAGCTGGCGCTGAGGGAGCTGGATCAGTGTCAAGGACTCTCCACATGTAGATAAACGGTAACTTGGTGACTGGATACCCACCTCTGTGGAGTTACTTCAGATGACACTTTGAACAATTTTTCATCCCAGCTATTGAAAACATTTAAATTATGTTGAATTATGAACTCAGAGTGATTTTTTTCCATTGTACTCAACTTCTGAATCCTCAGGACCCTAACTAGCATTTTTCTAATCGAACTGATTATCTGAATATGAAATCCAGCTCCACTGATTGACCCAAAGTCCTATTGTACTGCTCTCCATTCATTACCATGGAACCAAAAGCCATGATTCAGAGATTATTTTGTTTTGAACGGAGAAAAAAAGAGGCTCAGAGCAGGCCAATTATTGGCCTATTTATTCCACAGTTTGTTGGCATTTTCTCATGCATGACTCATTTTCTTATAAATGAAAGACTGTAAGTGGAGCCTGGACCATGTGGGTGCCAACCCATGAGTCTTTGCTTAAAAAACGACAGCTGTTTCACCAATTCATAAAATAAACTGCTTAATCCAAGAAATTGAAAATATAGCATTTGCAATATTTTATCATCTGTATATCGGAACAGGGTACACAGTGCTGTCAGGTTGACTTGAATTGATTGTCAGTTTTAATAAGGATGTAATTATAAAAGAAACAGAAGCATTTGCAATAACTAGTTTTCAATGCACATTATAAAAGGATGGCAAGGCAGGATTTAGAATTATTGTGTCTTGTAACCAATGATGAAGCTAATGTAATTTTATTCTTTAAGCTAATATAATCATAACATGTTTTAACATTTCCCTTGCTGCAACTTAACATAAAATTTCAGTTGTCATCTGTGATTAAAATGCTGCCAACTCTTAAGTGTCCTTTGTGATCATACAAATTATCTCTATTCATTGCAATATCCCAATTCACTGTAAAGTTCCTTGAAAATCTTTGATTGTCCATTATACTACCACTTAAGCTTGACAAATTGTTGTGTGCATTGTCTACATTATATGGATGGCTAAACAGTGACGCAAGGGGTGTTGAGAACACATGATTCCAGTCTAGTTATCATCATCAAATTGCAGGTAAGTGGTTTCTACCTGTTTTAGAGCTGAATCGTTAATGATAAAGAATACCATGTTACAATCTCAAACATTTCAAGTGAGGTACATTTCTGATACTGGTGTCATGGGGAGAAAAACGACATCTGGAGTAGTGTATGTAGTTTTGGGCTCTCAGGAAGGGTAAATTGTTCTTGGTAGGCATGCAGCACAGATCCACCAGAATGATATACAGCTATAGAGGCTTAGAGGATCAAATTACGAGGACAGTTTGCATCAACTTAGCCTGTAGACCTGAATTGTTGAAGATTGAAGAATGATCTGATCGGTGTTTAAACTAGTAAAATTGGGCAGATACAGAAAAAAAATATTTCTTTTAGTTTTATTCATGAAGGAAAGTCATAAATGAGATAAATTAGGAACTTTTTGTACATGTCGATTCTCACATCTTTGTTAGGCGAGGGTATGGTGCAAGATGGAAATACATGGGTAAGTGGAATTGAGGTGCAGATTAAGCATGATATAATTGAATAGTGGCGCAGGCTCAAGGGCTTACTGTTGTTTTGTACATCAACCAGAGGCAGATACTGTACATCAGCAGTGACAGATGAACTTTTTGATAGCAATTAGTCTTTTTTAAACAATTTGTTCACAGGATGTTGAGATCACTGGCTAGGCCAACATTCATTGACCATTCCTACTCAACCTTGAGAAGGTGGTGTTGAGTTGCCTTTTGGAACTGCTGTAATCTATATGTCGGAAATGCTGTCACAATGCTGTTAGGTGGGGAGTTCTAGGACTTCGACGCATCAATGACATTTGTCCAAGTAAGGATGGTGAATGACACGATGGGCAACTACAGTGTTGTGATTGGTTCTCATGCGCTTGCTACCATTGTATTTTCAGACTAAAGATGCCCTCTTCACTATCCTCAATGATCTTCGACCCATTGACCACTTCAATATCATCAACTTCTCTGGTCGTATTAAGGTCTGGCAACATGGAAAACTTGTCCCTGTCACGAGGGAGACTGTAAGGGATGCCAAGAAGTACATTTACCTGATGTCACCTTCAGGAGGTAAAGGGAGATGTGTTTTATTTCCATTCTGATGCCTTGCCTTCTGATCTCTCATCTCCAATAGAAAATCTTGTCTTTCTGTCTTTGGAACATTGTTTGAATGAAGGTCTCCAGGTTCATCTGGCATCAATAATGAGCTTGTGCTGAGCCGGTCCCTCATTACTTGTACGCCCTGTTCCAACTACAGAAGAATTATTGTAATTTACCTGCAGTAAATGTGTAGCCTTACTCGGCGATTTTTCCTGTCATGCCACACACAGACTTGTGAGAAACGTTACTGCTCATGGAGTAAGTGGGAGAGTAGCAACATTGATACAAAGTTGGCTGAGAGACAGGAAACAGAGAGTAATAGTTAATGTATATTTTTCATGCTGGAGGAAGAAGTTGTAGTGGACCTCCTCAGGGATTGGTCTCGGAATGCCTGCTTTTCCCAATGATCTTGATGTTGGTGTACAGGAGAAAATTTCGAAATTTGCAGATGACAGAAAATTTGGAAACATTGTAAGCTTTGGGGTCCACAGTGTAAAACGACAAAAGGGTATTGGCAACTTCCTGGACTGGGCAGCTAGGTGGTAGATGATGTTCAGCATGGAAAAGTGTGAGGCGATATATCTTAGTTGAATGAACATAAAGATACAGCAAAAATGAAAGGGTGCAAGCCTAAACTAAGTGCCAGAGCAGAGAAACCTGAATGTGTTTTTTTATTATTCACTTGTGGGATGTAAGTGTCGCTGGCTGGGCCCGGCATTTATTGCCTGTTTTTAGTTGCCCATTGAGAAGGTGGTGGTGTGCTTCCTTATTGAACCGCTGCAGTCCATGTGCTGTAAGTTGACCCACAATACCCTTAGAGAGGGAATCCCAGGATTTTGACCCAGCGACAGTGAAGGAACAGCGATATATTTCCAAATCAGGATGGTGAGTGGCTTGGAGGAGAATTTGCAGGTGCTAGTGTTCCCACGTATCTGCTGCCCTTGTCTTATATAGCAAGTCCAATTGAGTTTCTGGTCGAAGGAAACTCCCAGAATATTGATAGCGGGCGTTTCAGTGATGTTGATGCCTTTGAATGTCAAGGCATGGTTGTTAGATTTTCCGTTTAAGGAGATGGTCATTGCCTCGCATTTGTGTGGTGCAAATATTACTTGTCACTTGTCACCCCAAGTCTTGACCTTATCCAGGTCTTGCTGCATTTGGACATGGACAGCTAAAGTGTCTGAGGCAGTATTGGTTTATGTAGCTGCGTAGACTAAGCACCAAGGCCTGATGACGTTGAAGTACTGTGCCTCATTTTCATGTTCAAGTTTGGTCTCTAGTTTGAACTCAGCAAGAATCACTGTCTGGATGCCGAACAGGAGTGGGTATTCAGCCAACCTTTAAAAATTACAGTGATGTTCCTTAGCAGTGACATTAAGAAGAGGAATTCTGCAGTGAGAGCAAGAAAAGTGTGAAGGTACAGTGGGATTGTAACTCCCAAGATATAAGAATGAATTGCGTTCATGGAATAGATTTACAATCTGTTCCAAATGGTCTATTCGCAATTGACTGATCCTATTTTAAACAAAGTCCTCAGGCTGCCAACAAGAAACTGGCTTGGAATGTCTAGGCCACATACTGAGGGAACTCTTTGTCTTTGAGCAGATATATTCTCAAGAGTGTTTCAATGATTGTGTAGTTCCAGTGTTCCTCACAGCCTTAGGCTCAGTAAACCCCACATGGCTAATTTCCCCCACTTCTTCCTGTATGCTAAATGGTAAATATTCTGGAAAATTATTTAAAAACCATAGTGGAAAAAATGAAGGAGTTTGGAATTGATTATAGTTCTAGCCAATATTGTAAAATATGTGCAATGCACCAAGATCTGGAAAACATTGATATCTTGTCTAGTGGTTAATTTGGCATCAGAAACAAATTATTAGTTGTCCCACGTATCTTCATAGACTCATAGAGTTTATATGGTGCAGAAGAAGGCCATTCAGCCTATCATGTCTGCACTGGCTCTCTGAATGAGCATTATGATTCAATACCATTTTCCTGTATTTCTCTATAACCCTGAAGATTGCTTCTGTGTTTCTATGTAAGTAATAAACTAATGACTATTGAATCTGCCTCCCCCATACAATGCATTCTAGATTCTAACTACTGGAAAATGTGAGACTATCAGTCGAGAATAGAATTGGGTTCAAGTGTGATGCCGTTTGCAATGAAATTATTTCCATAGACCTGCTGCATGGGCTCATTAGATTTAAAAATTATTTAGAATGAGGGCTGCTTTGAGGTTTCCTTTATGGGAGGGGTGAAGATTTTTAATTTAAATTTGTAATCAGTTTTATTTTCAGAACCAAATAATTTAAATTTTCAAAATTTGTCATAATGACAAATTTGGAACGTTGTGTTTCAAAGACAATTAACTTGTTTACTAATAAAGTTTAGATTATGAATGAGGGACTGGTTGACAACAACCAAAAATGAGAAATGTTCTTGTTCGGAAAGGTATTACTGTCTAAATTCTTTTAAAGCTTTTTATTATTTGAAATGAAATGGTATCATGAAGATAGCTTCATTTATTCTTCATCCTTAAAATAACTGGGTACTGTGTTCAGAGAATCATGAGGGGCATTGACAAGGTGAATGACGAGGGTCTTTTCCTTAGGGTGGGGGTGGAGAGGAGAAAGTTTTAAAAAGGACATGAGGGGCAATGTTTTTACACAGAGAGTGGTTTGTACGGGGAATGAACTATCAGAGGAAGTGGTGATACAGGTATAGTTGCGACATTTAAAAGACGTTTGGATAAGTACTTGAATAAGAAAGGTTTGGAGGGATATGGGCCAAATGCAGGCAAGTGGGACTAGTTTAGTTTGGGAACAGGGTCGGCATGGACTAGTCAGACCGAAGGGTCTGTTTCCGTGTTTTATGACTCAATTACTCTACTGATTGCAAGAAGAATTTCTTTTCTCACATCACATTTGCTTTTTTTGTAAATTATCTTATATCTGTGCCCTCTCATTCTTGATCCTTTTATGACAAGGAACAGTCTAGCCACCCCCTGAAAACATTTACCTTTAATCTTAGCCTTCTTCACTTGAAGGAAAACAGTCCTGACTTCTCCAATCTGTCTTCATAGATAATGTTTCTCATTCGTGGAACCATTCTTGTAAACTTCTTCTACACTCTTTCGAATTCATTCACACCCTTGTTAAAGTGTGCACCCAGATCTGACAATAAAACACCAGCTGAAATCTAACCAGTATCTTTGCAGAACCTCCTTTCTCCTGTACTTGATCTCTCTATAAATAAAGCCCCAGACATTGTATGCTTTATGAACTGCTCACTATACCTATCTTGCCATCTTAAGTGATTTATGCACACATACACATACATAAGCAGGTCAGAGGCTAGGAAGACTGTGGCAAGTAACTCGTGACTCCCCAAAGCCTGCCCACCATTTACATGGCACAAGACAGGAGTGTCTTGCCTGGATGGGTGCAGCTCCAACAACACTCAAGAAGCTTGACGGCAAGCAGCCTGCTTGATTGGTCCCACATCCACAAGCATCCACTCTCTCCACCACCGACGCTCAGTAGCAGTTAGTGTGTACTGTCTATAAGATACACTACAGAAATTCACCAAAGATCTTTAAACAGCACCTTCCAAACCCAAGAACACTAACATTTGGAAGGGCAAGGGCAGCGGAAATGGTCAGGAAGGAGAGATCACATGCAGGGTGAGATATAGCCCAAGTGACTGTATAGTTCAGGGAATTTGGAGGCAGCATTGGAATATTATGCAAAGGGGAAGAGGTGCTTCTTGCTTGCTTTTTGTTTGTCTTTTAGTTTTTAAGATTATTTTACCAGGATAAATAGAAGCCCAGTACAAAAGAGTGAGATCACAGGTAAATGGTAAGTTCATTGGTTGGTGATAGCTACTAATTTGATTATCTGTTATAGACTACTTTCAGATTGAAGGCAAATAAGGGAAGTATTTACAGACTGCAAACTAATTTACCAGTACAAATTTTTTAAAAATCAAATTAAAATAGAGTTGCTGGGCCATGCAATATGCTGTAACTGCATGTTGTGGGAGATGGTGAACCCTAAAGTAGTTCAGAGTGATCACATCTGTAGCAAGTGTTGGTTGCTTGAGGAACTCTGGCTCAGAATGGAGTCTGAGCTCCAAACGGTGCAACACATCAGGGAGGGGGATAGTTACCTGAACACTGTGTTTCAGGAGGCAGTCATACCCGTTAGTTTAATTGCCTCTAATTCAGTCAGTGGTGAGGGACAAGAGGGTATGATTACCAGTGAGGCAGGTGGAGGGATCCAGGAGGTAATGCTGAAGGAGCTTGTGTAACGAGTCTGAGATTCTTGCCCCCTTGTGTGGAAGAGAGTGGGAGCTGTAGCGGGAGGATGAGCAAACTGACCAGATCACCATGGCACAGGGAACCATTCAAGAGGAGAAAAGAGAAATGTTGTTGTGATCAGTGTTAATAAAATCAGGGGAATAGACACTACTCTCTGTCTAATCGACAGTCCCAAAGGCTGTATTGCCTGCCTGGTTCCTAGGTTCATGGATATCTCATCTGGGCTGCAGTGGAACTTGGGGAGAGAGGGGAAAGATCCAGATGTCATGGTCCATGTAGGTACCAATGATACAGGTAGAAAGAGGAAAAAGGTTCGGCTGAGAGAATATGAGCAGCGAGGTGTTAAATTAAAAATCAGAGTATGGAAAGGACCAGGAATCTAACTTCAGGCAAAGCAGATAAGGGGACAACTATGAGAAGGGGGCAGTCAACGCAGGACTGAAGGTGTTGTGCGTAAATATACTTGAAAAACAAGGGAAATCAGATTGAAATTGACAGGTACAATGTTGTGGGTATCAAGACATGGCTGCAAGGGGATCAGGGATGGGAACTAAATATCCAAGGATACACATTCTATCAAAAGGACACGCACATGGGTATACAGGGCGGGGCTGCTTTGTTAGTAAGAAATGAAATTAAATTGATAACAAGAAGTGATATAGAGCCAGAAGGCATTGAATCTGTGTGGGTGGAGTTGAGGAACTGCCAAGGGAAAATAGACCCTGATGGGAGTTATGTACAGACCTTCTAGCAATAGTTAGGATGTGGGGAAGAAAATAAGTCAGGAGATAGAAAAGGCACTATTACAATAATCATGGAGGAGTTCAATATGCTGACGGATTGGGAAAATCAGGTTGGCAGCAGAAATCAAGAAAAGGAATTTGTGGAATGTCAACGAGATGGTTTTTTTTGGACCAGCTTACTGTAGAGCCCACAAGGGAACAGAGAATTCTGGATTTGGTGATGTGTAATGAGGCAGACTTGGTTAAGGGATTTAAGATGAAGGAACCTATAGGGGACAGTGACCATAATGTGATAGAATTCACCCTGCAGTTTGAGATGGAGAAGATGGAATCACATGTAACTGTGTTACAATTGAATAAAGGTAATTACAAAGACATAGAGTAGCACAGTGGCTCAGTGGTTAGCACTGCTGCCTCACAGCGCCAGGAAACCAGGTTCGATTACACCCTTGGACGACTGTCTGTGTGGAGTTTGCACATTCTCCCCGTGTCCATGTGGGTTTTGGTTCGGCTTCCTCCCACAGTCCAAAGTTGTGCAGGTTGGGTGGATTGGCCATGCTAAATTGCCCGTATTGCCTGTAGTGCGCAGAGGTGTGTACGCTACGTGGATTAGACATGGTAAAAGCAGGGCTACAGGGAAAGGGTAGGGGGATGGGGATGGGTCTGGGTGGGATGCTCTTTGTAAGGGCGGTTTGGACTTGTTGGGCCAAATGGCCTATTTCCACATTGTAGGGATTCTATGTGGGAGGAGCTGACCAGAATTGATTGGAAGGGGAAAATGGTTGAGTAGCAATGGCAGGAGTTTGAGAGTAATTTAGGAGGCATAACAGAAATTCATCCCAAGGTGGAAAAAACTTACCAAGAGGAGGATGAGACAATCATGACTGATAGGGGAAGTCAGGGTCAGCATAAAAGCAAAAGAAAAACCATACAATGTGGTGAAGATTAGTGGGAAGCCTTTAAAAACTAGCAGATGATAACTTAAAAAAAGCAAAAGGAGGGAGAAGGTGAAATATTAAGGTAAGCCAGCTAATAATATAAAAGAAGATTGCAAGAGTTTTTCGATATTTAAAAGGTAAGGGAAAGAGAATATTGGACATTGAACCACTGGGAAGTGAGGCTGGAGAGGTAGTAATGGGGAATAAAGAAATGGTGGAGGAACTGAGTGGGTACTTTGCATCAGTTTTCATATTGGAAGACACCAACAGCATACCAGAACTTTAAGAGAGTCAGGGGGCAGAGATGAGTGTAGTGACCATCATTAAGGAGAAGGTGTTGGGGAAGCTGAAAGGTCTGAAGGTGGATTATTTATCTGGTCCAGACGGACTACACCCCAGGATTCTGGAGGAAATAGCTGAGGAGATTGTAGAGGCATTAGTGGTGATCGTTCAGGAATCATGGGAGTCAGAGAGGGTCCAGGAGGAGTGGAAAGTGGCTCATGTAACACCCCTGTTTAAGAAAGAAGGGAGGCAGAAGACAGGAAACTATAGGCCAGTTAGCCTGACCTCAATCCTTGGTAAGATTTTAGAGTCCATTATTAAGGATGAGATTGCGAATACTTGGAAGCACATGGTAAAATAGGACTGAAAGGATAGCACGGGCTTCATCAAGGGCAGGTCATGCCTGACAAATCTGTGAGAATTCTTTGAGGAGTTAACGAGCAGGTTAGACAAAAGAGAGCCAGTGGACGTAATCGATTTGGATTTCCAGAAGATCATTGACAAGGTGTCGCACAGGAGGCTGCCAAAAAGATAAGAGCCAATGGTGTTAGGGGCAAGTTACTGGCCTGGCTAGGGGATTGTGACTGGCAGAGGGCAGAGAATGGGGATAAAAAGGGTCTTTTTCAAGCTGGCAGCCTGTGACTAGTGGAGTTCCACAGGGGTTGGCATTGGGACCACAACTATTCACGATAGATGTTAACGATCTGGATGAAGAAACTGATAGCATTGTTGCCAAGCTTGCAGGCGACACCAAGTTAGGTGGAGGGGCGAGTAGTGTTGAAAGTGCAGAGAGGCACAGAAGGGCTTGGACAGGCTAGGGGAGTGGGCAAAGAAGTGGCAGATGAAATACAATGTGGGAAAGTGTGAGGTTATGCCCTGAGGTAGGAAGAATAGAAGCATCGGCTATTTTCGAAATAGGGAAGGCTTCAGAAATCTGAAGCGCAAAGGTACTTGGGAGAATAGTTCAGAACTCTCGTAAGGTTAACATGCAGGTTCAGATGGCAGTTAGGAAGGCAAATTCCATTGTTGGCACTCATTTCAAGAGGGCTCAAATACAAAAGCAGAAATGTACTGCTGAGGCTGTGTAAGGCTCTGGGCAGACTGCATTTGCAATATTATGAGCGGTTTTGGGCCTTGTATGAAAGGAAGGATGTTGGAGGGAGTTCAGAGAAGAATGACCATGAAGGGCTTGCCATTTGAAGAGCATCTGGGGTCTCTGGGTCTGTACGCGATGGAGTTTAGGAGGTTAAGCAGCAAACTTAAATACTGAGAGGCCTGGATAGAGTGGATGTGGAGATGTTTCCATGAGATGGAGAGATTGGGTCCTGGGGGCACAGCCTCAGAGTGAATGATTTAAACTGAGATGAGGAGAAATTTCTTCAGCCAGGAAGTGGTGAATCTATGGAACTCATTGCTGCAGAAGGCTATGGAGGCCAAGTTATTGGGTATATTTACGACAGAGGTAGATAGGTTGGTGATTAAAAAGGGATTAAAGGTTATGGAGAGAAGGCAGGAGAATGGGGTTGACAAACATCAGCCATGATTGAATGGCCGAGCAGACTCAATGGACTGCTCCTATATCTAATGGTCTTCTAATACATGGGACACCATGACCTGACTTAGAAATAACTGTTCCTTTAATGTCACTGGGTCTAAATGTTGGAACTCGCTCCGTAATGATGTTGTCTAACTGCAGCACATGGACTGCAGTGGTTCAAGAAGACAGCTCACCACCACCTTCTCAATGGCAACTAGGTACGGGCAAGAAATATTGGAGCAGCCATTGATGCCCATGGTCCATGAGTGAGTTAAAAAAAAAACCTGGATTAAAGTTGCAAGCTAAAAATCTTGTAGCCCCTAATTATTTCCTTTGCCAAATATCAATGCAGTAGATGAGTGTTAAAACAAGAAAAGCATTTGTTTAGAACTCTTTCAAAAAGCTTCCCCAGGCACATTGGTGACTAATTAGTCTTCCCCTGTCATTCTGAAACTCTCTTTTCAAAGATGTTGTTTAAAAATTGTTTGAAATTCAAATTGGAATACAAAAACTTTGTTCAAAATTCTGCTTTGTTTCCCAGGAACCAACATAAATGATGCCATCCAAACTGGATCTAAATTGTTGAAAGATTACATCGCTCAGCAGGACAAGAGTGTGTGGGCTGTGTCATTAATAATATTCTTGACAGATGGACGCCCAACAATTGCAGAAGTTCAACCTCATAAAATCCTAAGCAACACAAGAAAGGCCGCTGAAAAGAAGTTCTGCATCTTCACCTTGGGAATAGGAAGAGATGTGGACTACAGGCTCCTTCAGCGAATGTCACTGGAGAACTGTGGAGTAATGCGAAGGATCAATGAGGACTCAGATGCCAGCATCCTACTTAAAGGTTTTTTTGATGAAATAGGGACTCCACTCCTCTCAGACATTCGTGTTGATTATTCGGAAGATTCAGTGGAGTATGTTACGCAAAATTTCTTCCCAAACTATTTCAATGGATCCGAACTCATAATAGCAGGGAAACTGACAGACAACACAAGTGATAATCTTCATGTCCAAGTTGCTGCAAGCACAAGTGACAAACACCTCATGCTGGAGGCAGACGTGAAAATTAATGACACAAGGAGAAGTTCGAATGATTTCAAGGCTAGATCCAAAGATTCTAAGTTCATCCAAAGGGCATGGGGCTACTTAGCAATAAAAGATCTGCTGAGATTGCAACTGAAGAGCAGCAATAGCAAAGTGAAGGAAATTCTTTCAGAGAAAGCAAAAAATCTTTCGTTGGAATACAATTTTATCACACCCGTCACTTCACTTCGTGTAAAGAGTTCAGATGAACAAAGCAGTGGATCCACACAGAGTGTGGTAAATGAGTCTGAAGTGAATGATGAGAGAGCACAGAGTTTACAGAGAATAACTAAACCAGGTAAATGAGCACAGTTGTAACTTACTGAACTCCATTTCCAAATACGTGTTCCCTTAGTATCTTTTTGTAGTAAATGAGATTTAAAGAGCAATATGCTCATAACTAGACTGTATAGTTATTGAAGTCAGATGATGTCAGATCATATGAGTCTGACACCTGATGCAAGAAGGTTCTAGTGAAGTCCAGGTCAACCATGCTTCTGTACCTAGTGTAAATAGTTAGTAGGTTTTTACCAGTCTGCACCAGTATGGCGTTCAGCTGTCAACCATTTAGGAGTCCCTGAACTTGTTTTTGATGTTCATCCACCTTTAGGTAATTATCATCTTGATTCTTAAAATGAAATTTGGACTGCATTCCCATTTCAGTCACTTGATGCTGGCACTGGGTACTTCTGCATTGATAAGAAAAAAATCTGGGGATTCAATCCTGTTTATTTGTCTTAATGATGAGGCGTTATCTGTAGTAAACTCATAAACCTCTTTAAATAAAATGGATTTACAATGGTCCTTAATCCCAATCCCCTCCGTAACAATGTGAAATCTCCAATTCGCACATGTGCTAAAACTCTTAAGAATCTGTTTTAAGTATTCACAAAAAGGCAGTGACTAGTTAATTGACGGATGTTATTAGGGCAGAATTAAATTCACCAATTAGTTTAATGTTGACATTTCTTTATCTAGAGAGCACCTCCTTAAGAAAGAAAAAGAAAACAGTAATGGTTTCAAAGACATCAGGTAAGTGCAAAACTTTGAACTTCCTCACTAAAGGCTCTTCAACTCAATATTTTGAACAATGTGGCAAGTCATCGGTCAGAAGTTAGAGTCCAGCTCATTATTCCACCAGGCTGCTAACACACAGGGTTCACCTTTTTAAATGCAGCTTGAGGAACATTTTCAGAGCTAGTTAAAAGCACAAACTTGTCAATGTACAACTGATTGACTGAATTATTAAGATCTGAAAAAAAAAGAAAATTTCAAAAGGAATTCTTGGAGAGCTAATTCTTTTTCCAGCAGGTAATGGTTAATGATATAAAGCCTGAAGTAAAGCTGTGTGTACACTAACAGTGGAATAGTGATTTTTTTTTTGGAATCCTTATGCTTGCTATTTAATTAGAAATGCGTCCCATTAGAATCAAATTCTGTATAAACTGACCCATTAAAATGGAAGCATTTTACACAGATGCAGTTACATTTACACACTTACAAAATTGGTCTGTTTATTTGATTGTCAGTATCCATTAGCCAAAGTTTATTTTAGTTCCCATTTCATATGGTATATGGTTGCTTATTCACTGTCACCAACTTATTTTTGGGGTGGTTGGTATGAATGAAAACTGTGAAACCGAGATTGTGGTTTCACATGCAGTTAGCTTGAAGATCGAAAAATTCCGAGCACTGAATCTAGTTCAAAAAATGTGACATTTACTTTTGCCTTTGAGGGAGGGGAACACAATGGGGATAAAGAAAAGGACATTATTGGTGATATCAGAGCATTCCACTAAAGGCAAGGGGCAGCTGAGTGGGAGGCAAACTTCTATTCCCTTTGAAAGAGAGGGAGCTTGAAGGAAAATATTTGAAGTCAAAACTACTAAAGATGCTAGGATCAAGACAAGGACAGACATGTCATATTAGAACTTTCAGCCAGTCCTTTTAACAAAAAAGTAGTCAAACATGCTGCTATGATTGACGCAATGAAAGATATAACTTTTGGCATTTGGAATACAGACCTTATCAAGTATGTGATGAAATATGGGCATGGATGAGGGTACTTATCAGCTATCAGTTGAATTCACATGTCTCTGGATGGATTAAAGCAATGTTACAATTGTTCTTTGGACTATAGGGCTGTTGTCTCATTATAGAGAGATGACTGGTGGTGGTTTAACGACCTCAGGCTAGTGGAAAGGTTGAGGAAGAGAGCCCTTAGTGGTAATGTCAGTGGTGTGGGAATTAAACATACACTGTTGGTGTAACTCTGCTTCGCAAGTTAGCTGTCCAAACAACTGAGCTAACCGACCCCCCTGTTGGTTTACAGATGGGTCAATACCTCAGGATCATAGAGTTTGTAGACTGCTTGTGTTTCATACTGGGGAGAAAAAAAGTGAAACTGAAAGACCCCTATTAACCTCACACTGCATCATGTTGGCTTCCCCCATCGAAAGAAGACTGGGTTCACCTCAGAAGTATTAACCCAATAATTTTGTGATTGAGGCTGGTTCAGGGACTGCACTCTTGTTATCCTCATGACTCAGAGGATCCACCATGAATATCATTCGCCAGCCAATCTGAGAACCCGTGCAAAAAGAAGATTAAAGTCCGTTCAGTTTAGACTCTGTTGGCTGTTATTGAGGTATAGGGTTTTAAACTGAGATCACATTGCTTACTTGTGTTTTTGGGCTGTCAGCAGCAAATATTGCAGTTATCATTTAAGTTCTCAGTTCTCCAATTCTGTCCAATCATTGCTGTCTCTGGCACTATCCTTCTTAAGAATTAGAGAGTACCTTCTCTGGCCCATGTTCAGTTCTGTGTCCTTAGTTTTATCTCCTCTCTTAATCAAAGAGAGAAGTCATTGAGATAGCAACTTTTCAGTATAATATATCTTTGAACTCTGTTTTGTAGGCTGAGTGAGAGTAGTTCATATATCATCTCCAACATGTGAAGATTCTTGTCGTGGTGTAAATTGAAGAAGAGATGACAAACATTTAAAGACTCCTGGTTGGGGAAGGGGGAGGTTGCAGGTGGGGTTATTTGTGCCTGACTGACTGGTTTCATTGCCCTTAGAGAAGAATATTGTCCCAGATTTTCCAATGTTCGGATAGCTTTTTCTGCAGCGCAGACTGGAACTGTGCATCAGGATTCTTTTAAGAAAAGTTGAGAAGCAATTAACAAATAGCAACAATTGCAAAGCAATAAACTGAAGGTACTGTTGCTTCAAACATGTCTAAACTTTCTTTTTGACCATTTAATGCGGTCCATATAAACTGTGGTATTTGTTTGTAATGCAGCTGATGGAGATCCACATTTTGTTGTTGACTTCCCCTTGGGCAAGTTTTCCATCTGCTTTAACATAGATGGTGAGCCTGGTAACATAATGAGATTGGTGTCTGATCACGAAGGTTCCGGTGAGTAGCAAACTGGATGAGTATTAAAAGATTGATATTCTTTGTTCATCAAGATGAGAATCATAGCTTGATGCAGCTCAGAATGAGACAGTTTGGCCTGTCATGCTTGTGTCATCTCTTTCCCCAGAGCTGTCGGTTATTTGCTTTCAAGTACTTTCCCCAATTCCCTTTTGATGCTACCTTTGAACCTGCTTCTAGAATCCTATTAAACAATGCATTACAGTGCATTCGTAACTCACTGTGTTTTCTCAATTTGCCTCAAGTTTTTTTTTCTATTACCTTAAATCTGTCTCCTATGGTGACCAACCTTCCTGCCAGGAAACTGCTTCTTCCTAGTTATGCTGTCAGAACCATTCATTATTTTGAGCATCTCTGTCAAATGTGCTCTTCACCTTTTCTGTTCTAACGAGATCAACCCTAACTTCTCCTGTCTGTTGCCATAACTGATATGTCTAATCCCTGTTACAATTCGAATATATTTCTTCTCCATCATCTCAAAGGATTTGACATCCTTGTGAAAGAGCAGTGCCCAGAATTGAACACAGTATTTCATGTGAATTCCAATCAGTGTTAAGAACATAAGAAGTAGGAGCAGGAGACCATTTGGCGCATCAAGCCTGTTCTGCCATTTAATGTGGTCATGGATGAGCTTGGCCTCCAGTTGTGCTCTCCTGCCTACTCTCCATATCTCTTGATTTTCGGAGAAACCAAAATCCTGTCTGCCTCAGCCTTAAATGTATTCAACGATGGAGTATCCATAACCTTCTGAGGCACAAAATTCCAAAGTTTCACAATTCTAAGTGTAGACATTTCTCGTTGTCTCAGTCCTAAATGACTACCCCTCATCCTGAAACCACCCTCTAATTCCAGATTCTGCAGCGAGGGGAAATGCTTCAATATCTATCCTGTCAAGCATAATCTTGAAGGTTCTAATTAGATAAACCCATTTACTCATCATTAGCCAATGGTCTCATCACAGTGTCCAGTCTGGTAAATCTTTACTGTTCCAACTCTAATGGAAGTATATTTTAAATAAACTGATACTGTACACAGTAGTTTAGCTGTGTTCACACGTACCTGGAGCCCTATACAATTGTAGCAAAACTTCTTCATTCTTGACAGAAATTGCTTTAAAAACTCAGCAGGTCTGGCAGAATCTGTAGACAGAAATCAGTGTTAAAATTTCGGGTACAGTGACCCTTTTTCAGAACCGTTCCAAGATGCTGCCAGACCTGCTGAGTTTTTCCAGCAATTTCTGTTTGTTTCTGATTTCCAGTATCCACAGTTCTTTTGGTTTCCTTCTTCATTCTTGTATTCAGTCCCCTTGTAATAAAGGTCAAGTTGTCATTTGCTTTCCCAATTTCCTTTTTCCTCCATGCTACCTTTTTGTGCTTCTTGTAAAAGTACACCAAAGTTGGTCTGAACATCAACATTTACATGTGTCACATGTTTTAAAAGATATTCTACCTTTCCAATTTCATGACCAAAGTGAATGTCTTCACATTTCCCCACATGTAAACTCTTCCCTGCCATCCTGTTGCGCACTCACTTAACCTGTCTATTTCTTTTTGCAGCCTCTTTGTGACTTCCTGAAGCTTGAATTCCCACCTAGCTCCATATAATCAGCAACGTTGATACAGTATCGTGTCTCATGATCTGATTATTCATATGAATTGTAAACAGATGAGGCCCAAGAATTGCTCCTGGCGACACTCCATGAACCACAACCTACTAAGTCGAAAATACCCTATTTTTGCCTACTTTTGCTTCCCATCCATTAACCAATCCTCTTGCCATGCTCATATGGTATCTCAATTCTGAGTTCTTATCTTCTGTGTCACCTTATTTAATGCCTTTTGGAAATCCAAGTGTACTACACCTACTGGTTCCCTTTTATCCATCCTACTAATCACATCCTGAGACAATTGGATCCCTTTAATATATAGCCTCTGAATTACTGGTGTTTTTTTTTGATCAGTGGAACTCCAGATAAATGGTCCAAACTAATTTGTCACAATCACTGTGACAATTTGGAGTAATAAACATTTAACAGCTTGTCTGGGTTTAAGGAGTGTCTCAATATTCTCCAGTACTGTAGCACCAAGCCTTGAAGTTAACTTATCAGGAAGTACACATGAGTGGCAACAAAAACAAAGTTGCTGGTAAAGTTCAGCAGGTCTGGCAGCATCTGTGAAAGAGAAAACAGAGTTAACATTTCAGGCCCGGTGACCCTTCCTCAGAGCAGTTCTGAGGAAGGGTCACCGGACCTGAAACGTTAGCTCTGTTTTTTCCTTCACAGATACTGCCAGACCTGCTGGGCTTTTCCAGCAACTTTGTTTTTGTTCCTGATTTACAGCATCTGCAGTTCTTTCGGTTTTTATTTAGTACACGAGTGGTATGGAATTCCCCAGTGATTTGATTCCATCTGGCAAGCCTCAGGAATGACTAAATATAAATGCCTTAGGGTTCAGCATGGATTTCCTTAATCGCTCTAGTTTAGCTGCTGGCTTCTCCTTGCAGAGAAATACTTGTATGCCAATAATAGTCCTACGTATGCAAGAATGAGCTATTATTTACTGCTTTGGCACGAAACCACACTGATAAGTAATTTCAAAAGAGATTGTGGTTTAGAGGACCTTTTCAGGCATAGTAATGTCTTAAATGTTGAGGTGTTGGATATAATATCTTCTGTTTTTGGCAGGAGTGACGGTTAATGGTCAGTTGATTGGAGCTCCAGCACCTCCAAATGGGCACAAGAAGCAACGCACCTATTTCAGTGCCATTACTATCATTGTCAGTAAACCGGCCCGCTCCTACATTGAAATCACACCTCACAAGGTTATCTTCGACAGCCGAGATAGATTTATCTTATCTTGTGATAAAACCATAGAGGTAGAGAGTGAAGGCCTGATGGTTTCTGTCGCTGCCAAATCGAAAGTCACAGTGACAATACAAGAATACATCTCCTTTCTCATCTTGGTCCATCAGTACAAGAATCCAGCGCCATATCAGAGAGATCACCTGGGATTCTATATTCTCACCAGTAAGGGACTATCCTCCAGTGTTCACGGACTCTTAGGTAAACAGCCTATTCTCTTTAAGTGATACATCTTGACAGTGTGTGTTGTTATTAAAATCTTTTTATAAGATTTAACAACGTTTACAATGTTTCTTCTGCATTGCTTTCCAGGTTGCATGATACATGGATGCTAAAAAATCATTTATTTAAATTATGGGGCAACAGTAGTATAGTTCCAGTGTTGCTGTACTAACAAATTAGATACTTGGACTAATCATCCATAGAAATGAGTTCAGATCCCATCATATCAGTTGGGGAATTTAGATTCAATTAATTCAGTAAACATAAAGTAAAAAGTTGAAGCATTAATATTGACCATGACTAGATACTGGATTGTTGTAGAAGCAAATTCATTACAAAATGAAAACCACTGTCTTATGTGCAAATCCACACCCACAGCAATGGGGCTGACTGTAAACTGTCTCTGCAATGGCCTACCTTCTAAGTCTCAGAGTTGTAGAACTGGGAAATAAATGCCAGTGGTGCCAAAATCCTAAACTGAATGTAGAAGTAAAACATTTCGCTCGTGTTACATTTTGAGGGGAGATCCTTGGCAAAGGATGGTTTAGGTCTTGCACTTTTAGAGAGCCTGGGGTTAGAGGTGTGGGTTGAGGTCAGAGTTCAGAATCCCCTTTTTAGATGTCATTAACCAGGATCATCATTTGGTCATAAAAGTCCATTCATTCAAGATCAAGAAATCTGACATTTTGTCCAAAATTACACTGAACCATAAAGAAAATGATCAGTTCCTGTTCATGGGATCACTGTACACTGATCTGTCACAAGTGAAGCAATTTGAGATCATCCTGATATAGATTTTGTATAAATACAAGTATTTCTTTTTGAAATTGGTTCAGTTAATGCCACACTCGAAAAGATACATGTTATATCACAGCCAGGTAAGAAGGCAGTAAGTAGCAGATCAGTGTGAGACTACGTCAAATAAGATGCTTAAAAAAAATTCAACAGATTAGGAAGTATCTGTACGGACAGAGAGAAAAAAAAAGAGGAGCTGGAGGAACGCAGCAGGCCAGACAGCATAGAGGAGCAGGAAAGTTGATGTTTCGGGTCAGGACATTTCTTCAGATTTTCAGAAATTTGAAGAAGGGCCCCAACTGGAAATGTCAACTTTCCTGCTCCTCTGATGCTGCCTGGCCTGCTGTGTTCCTCCAGCTCCACGCTGTTATCTCTGACTCCAGCATCTGCAGTTCTTGCTATCTCCAAAAAAAGAGAGGATTTTTTTTGATTTCATTCATTATTGTCATATGTATCTAGATACAATGAAAAGTTTTGTTTTGTGTGCAGTACAGGCAGATCATACCATACAAAGTGCATTCAAGGTCCATTCAGAAGTCTAATAACAGCAAGGGAGAAGTTGCTCTTGACCCTGTTGGCACGTGTGTTTAAGCTTTTGTATCTCTGCCTGACGGAAGAGGTTTGAAGACATTATAACCGGGGTGGGAGGGGTCTTTGATTATTTTGGCTGCCTTCCCGAGGCAGTGAGAAGTGTGGATGGAATCAATGGATGGAAGGTTGGCTTGCATTGTACACTGGGCCTGGGCTGTGTTCACAATTCTCTGTAGTTTTTTACGGTCCTGGATAGATCAGTTGCCATACCAAGCCATGATGCATCCGGATAGAATACTTTCTATGATGCATCTATAAAAATTGATCAGGGTTGACGTTTCATGCCTGTGACCTTTTATCAGAACCGGACAACTGGATTTCTAGAGCTGCCATAGGTTTTGAACAAGAGCTGGGTGAGACAAGGACAAAAGGAAGCTTTGTGATTGGTTGGGAAACAGGAAAGATTAGATTAATGGTAAGCTAGTCCTCCAGGGTCAGAGTGAATGTGGTGGGACAAGAAAAGAAACAACGAAAGAACAGGTTTACTTTTTTTGTTCACAGGACATGGACATTGCTGATTCGACCAGCATTTGTTACCCATCCCTAATTACCTAGAGGGTAGTTAAGAGTCAACCAGGTTGCTGTGGGTCTGCAGTCACGTATAAACCAACAGATTCACTTTTCCAAGAACCAGATGAGCATTTGTAACAATCTACAGCAATTACGTAAATAAAACTGAAAGAACTGTGGATGCTGTAAATCAGGAACAAAAACAAAGTTGCTGGAAAAGCTCAGCAGGTCTGGCAGCATCTGTGAAAGA